GATTTTGTTGTGTTCGCAGGTATGTCCCTCCGTGCATCTACGAGGTCAACCCTCAGCGGTGGCGTCGACCAGCCGTGCTGCGGCGAAAGACAAATTCTCGTGGGGAGGGGTGGCCCTCTTGGGGGCTGAGTGAATTTGAGTGGCAGTGTGCTTTCTGCGGCAGTGTGTTTTCTGTTGTAAGGTTGCGCCGTCAAGCCGTAATATGCTTATGTATGGTTGTCTGGGGACCCCGTCGTTTTTGAAACCCCTCACGATAGATTCTCTGGGGTATCAGTCGGTCGCTGTTTCAGGTTCTCGTCTTGCTCCGTTGCGTGCCGTGCGGCGCAGTGCCGAGGGTGGGGTTTTTAGGCGTGGGTCCTTGCTGTGTCTGACTTGCGGGGGGTGGGGCCAGGAGAAAACCATTCAGTTGGCACGATTTCGACGAGGGTCGGCCCCCAATCCGCGACTTGGTGCGTTGATCGACGGAGCTGTCCCCGCCCCCCGTGTCGGTCGTAGTGTCGCTTTTGCTCGGGATGTCCGTTCGTCGACCTCGGTCGTCAGTAGCGCCAGCTGTGCCTTGGACAGCGTTGTCCCGTATGGAGCCCGAATGGCCCGTCACCACGAGCGAGTTCGAGTGCGTGGCGAGGCCCGTGGGAGGCCGTAGGCTGGGCACGGTGGTGTTGTTTTTGGGGATGCCAGCCCGTCGGTTTGGGATTCCGCACCGCCTGGCCTATGCCAGGTCGGCGGCGCGCTCCTGTGGGACGGAGCTCGCGCATGCTCCTGCTTAGTGGGGGAGGGTGCACCTGTCGTGGAAATCCCCCTCGATGGTGCACCCTTCCTTTCGGTTTTGTTTTGGGTTGGTCCCTTCCTCCTCGGATGGTCTTCCTGGGGGTCGTTTCGCACCATCGCATCTCCTCCACCTCCTCCTACTCCGCATGAGACGCCCATTGGAGTGTGCATCCATAGGGGCCGTCTCCAGGCTTGTGCGTCACCACGCCTACAGGCCCCCCTCCCAGTGAGACGTCGTTTTCATTAGCCGCTTAGATTCAAGGCTGTTTCGTCCCGTAGCTCAGGGAGACGTTGGGTCCGAGTGGTCTTGGTTTTGTGTTGCTCCTCCTATTGCTCCCTCTCCTTTTATGTGCAAGAGCCACGGCACGCGTGCCACGTGTTTTAGGCTCGGCGGTCCGAGGAGTGCTTTCGCAGAGGCTCCAGAGACTCCCAAAGAGGAGGCGGGGAGGAGGAGGAGGAGGACGAGGAAGACAAGGCAGAATAAGCATAATACTTTTAGTGTTATTAGTATTATTATTAATAGTAATAATACTAATAACAATGATACTGTCAATACGAGTAATAATAACACACCTAGACAACGATAATTAACAATACCAGTAACCAATATAAATAACGATAGTAATACTACTGGTAATAATACTAGTCATAGTAATAATAATACTGATAATAATAATAAGTGGCACGTGTGTGTCCAGGCTCATACAACAACAAAAAAATCACCTGATGGGGCGTTTGAAGCAGGAGTGAAATGCAACAGCGAAGTCGCACTCGAGCGCAAGTGGGGTTGCCACACCTTTCGATGTGTGTACCAGCCCCCCCCCCCCCAGAAGCCTCAGGAGGTCCGACTTGGATACCAGAAGCGGCTCCAGGAGGCCCCAGGATTATGAGTGTTGCGTGTGTGTGTGTGTGTATGATGTGTGCTCTGTGTTGTGCGTGCGTTTTGTGCGTTGTACGTGTTATGTGTGGTATGTTTGTCTAGCGTGTGATGTATTGGGCGTGATTTGTGCCTCTGTGTGCGCATGTAGTTCTGGACCCCAGTCGGCCTCAGGAGGCCCCAGGAGACCCCAGGAGGCTTCAGGAGGCTCCAAGAAGCTCCAGGAGGCCGCATGAGGCCCCAGGAGGCCCCAGGAGGTTTCAGGAGACCCCCAGGAGGCTCCGGGGCGGGGTCTGGGGTACCAGAAGGTTCAGAACGCCCCAGGAGGCCCAGGAGGTTCCAGGAGGCCCCCAGGAGGCTTCGAGGCGGGGTCTGAGGTACCAGAGGGTACGTCGAGGCTCGATGTTGGGAGGATGTTTCAGGCGAAACCGCCATTCTCTCAGAATCGGGGTCAAAATGATTGAAAGTACAATATGTGTGTTTGAAGGTTTTATGTTAAGATGTTGAAATTCCCATGTGTTTTTGGACCCTGACGTCACGATCTGCGTGAGGGGTGCCACCGATTTTCAGAATTTCGAGGATGTCTCGAGCGAAACGACCAGAAACATCGCGGACGCGGCGCCCCGCGTACGCATTAATCGCCTCTGAGCTATACTCCCTCGGAGAGGTGCGTATGAGAATACTACTATAATAATAATGATAATCATAGTTATTATTATGATTATCATTATTAATACGATTAGTATTATTCATAATAAAAATAGTAGTATGAAGAAGAAGCAGAAGACTAAGAGGAGGCGGAGGAGGAGGAGGAGGAGAGAATGAGAATGCTGATGATGATGTTGATGATGATACTGATGATGATGATGATGATGATGATGATGATGATGATGATGATGATGATGCTGATGCTGATGATGATGATGATGATGGTGGTGGTGGTGGTGGTGGTAGTGATGATGATGATGATGATGATGATGATGATGATGATGATGATGATGATGATGATGATGATGATGATGATGACGGTGATGATGATGATGATGACGATGACGATGACGATGGCGATGACGATGACGATGACGATGACGATGACGATGACGATGATGATGATGAGGAGGAGGAGGAGGAGGAGGGGCAGGAGGAGGAGAAGGATCAGTGCAGCCCAACGCTGCGTCGACGCCCGATCAAAACAATCCGATATCGATTCTGGCCGGCTCGATCCGATGCGGGCCGACGTTTGCATGATGCTGTTTTGCACCTTGACGCCGCCGATTCGATTCGATACCGACCCTTCGCCGATGTGGCCCGATCCGATGCTGCAGTCGGGGCCCTGGAGAAGGAACCCTTTTGGTTGGGGAGGGGCTCCGCGTTCCTTAATTGTTTCGCAGCGTGCCTTGGATGTCCCTTAGGTTTTCGGTGCGAAGTCGAAGTTTGACTTATGGAAAGAAGGGGCCTCGTTCCTTGTTTAGGGTTCCTTAGGTCAACGCCCCGACTGTGCAGTCCACGCGCTCGATCAGGACGCGCGCGCCGTCCCGCGGCTGCGCGGCCGGGCGCTCCCATGGGGGGGGGGGGGGGGGGGGCAGTTTCCGGCCGTCCCTGGGCGAGCCGCCCCCGCCCTCCGCCGCCGCCCTGCACCAAGAATCTCTGCAACCCGACTAGTTCTCCGCGGTGACTCTCGACATGCCGACGACGAGTCCAAGAGAAGTCAACAAAAGCAGGCTGCCGCCTCGGCGAAGAAATTCTTTTCGCGCGTCTCGTACACGCCCTGAGTCCTCGAGCAACTTCAAACAATGTAGATGACAAGGACGGAGGTGGCCCCGAGGGGCGCGAAGCAGGCGGGGGGCCCCTTGTGCGTCGTCGCGCCCACAGCACGCGCCGCGCTGCCCGCCAGGGCAGGTGTGGCGCCATGCCCAGAGGGGCGCGCGGTTTTTGAGGGTACCCTTGCGTCCTCGCGTTGTTTTTGCGCTGGGCCCCGACGCCGATGCGGCGAGGGCGGGAGCGGGTGAGGGTACCCATGCGTCCCTGCGGTTTCGGTCGCCTGCCGCCCAGACTACTCCAGCTTCGGCCTCCGAGGGTCTTGCGTCTTTACCACGCGTTCTTATGACACGTTTTGACTGCGGGTCCGATCCGATCAGATTTTTCTACGCGAAGTTGGCCGTTATGGCTCTTCCGTCCACTCATCCTCCTCCCAAGCCGCTGCAACGGTAATATCTTCCGCCACCGGGGGCGCCCCCCTTTTTCAGGATCGGGTCAGTCAAAAAGGGGGGATTGGGAAATGGGGGGCGCGACACCGGCTGCGCGCAGCTGGCGTCGGCCTCGCCGCCCTGCGCCTTCCACGTCAGTTGCGTGGGCGCTTGCGCCGGGGGGAACCAACTGCACGCTGCGGATCCGCCGACGCCCCCCATTTGGCTACCCCCCCCCTTTTCTCTTTTCTCAGGAGGGGGAAAAACACACACAGACACAATTAATCGTCGATTCCCAGGAAAATATGGGAAAATATGGGAAGTGGGGGGGAAAACAAAAACCCAGAAAATATTGGAAAATATGGGGGATACTTTCATTTGTGTGTATCTATTTGTGTGTCCCAGGGCCCCTTCATTTTCGTCCGACCCGAAGGACGAGCGGTCCACGGGCGCGCCGAACAGGCGGGGCGCCCCTTCGAAAAGCAGCCGCCCGCCGCGCACCAGGCGGCACCCCGATCTACCAAGAGGCCCCCCTGCCAAACCAGCCCCTCCTCCTCCTCCACCTCCGCCTCCTCCTCCTCCTCCTCCTCCTCCTCCTCCTCCTCCTCCTCCTCCTCCTCCTCCTCCTCCTCCTCCTCCTCCCCCTCCTCCCCCTCCTCCCCCTCCTCCTCCTCCTCGGCATCGGGCGGCACCCCTGCCAAACCAGCCCCAAGCCAGCGCCCGTCGGCGTCGTCGGCGGCGGCGTCGTCGGCGTCCTCGGCGCCGGCGTCCTCGTCGGCATCGTCCTCGTCAACACCTGGCATCGCTCGGACGTGTGCATTTTTTTCTCGGCGAAGACCATCGAGGAGCATCCTTGATCATTTCACGAAGAAAACACGCGCGAAACCGAAACAAACACAGGAAATGGACGTCCGAGCGATGGCCAGAACATCGTCCTCGTCGAGTCGACGGTCGAGACTCGGAGGCTGCAGTGCGAGGATCGAGGCTGGCTGCCGCCAGTCGGCGCGCATGCGAGGGGTTCCCCGGCGATCTCTCGGGATCGAGTTCTGCCTCGGGCGTTCCCGGTTGCAAGCTCGATCCTCGAGCCCGCTCCTCGCGATCGGAGCCCCTGGCCTGGGCATCCCCACCCCCCCGCGCGCGCGCGCGCGCCCGCGGGCGTGCCGACCGAGGTGGCGGTTGGAGCAGACCGCGCAGACGCCTCAGCCAGCGCAGCTTTGGGCGCGGCCCATTGCGGAGGGGTGCACGCAGCGTGGGTCGGCGCCGACGGTTGGTCGGCCAGCCCCGTGCAATCCCGTCTGGCTGGGAGCCGTGTGGAGCTCCTCGTCCTCCTCCCTCCTCCTCCCTCCTCCTCCTCCCTCCTCCTTCTCCTCCTCCTCCCTCCTCCTCCCTCCTCCTCCTCCCTCCTTTTCCTTCTCCTCCTCCTCCTCCTCCTCCTCCTCCTCCTCCTCCTCCGTAGCCATTTTGGCTCATGCCTTTCCGTAGGCCCCCCGCTCCTGGACTCTTCCTCGGCGTCTTGTCGGGGCAACGCGGCGGGCGTGAGGGAGGGGGGAGCGGGGCTCTCGGCTCGGATCGCATGATGGCTTCGGGGGGCCGCCCTGCCTGGTGGCGGCCCGTTCGCGCGCTGGAGAATGTGCAGCTCGGCGCGACGACGGCTCGGCGGGCGGCCCGCCGCCGGGCGCAGCTGGCCTGCGAGGCTGGCTTACGGCGTGCCCGGGCCGACCTGGGTGCTGCGCCGCCAGCGTGACCGCGAGCGGGCCGCGCGCCCAGCACTGCAGCTGGCGGCCCTCGGCGCGCCTGTGCCAGGGCGTTCGCGGCGCCGCCGCAACGCCGCGTGGCACGCGGCCCGCGTCCCGCCCCTCGGCTTCTCGCAGGCCACGGACGAGGAGCTCCAGTGGGCTGCCGCGGGGCCCCGCTTGGGAGCGGCCGCGCCCTTGGACGAGGATGCCATGGGGAACGCGGCAGAGATCCTCGCCCCCGTCGACGTCCTCCCCGACGCCCCCGCCCCTGGCCACCCCGCGGCCGCGCGGAGGATCGGCCTACACAGGGCTGCGGGAGGCAGCCCCTCCCTTCGTGCCTGGCGCGGAGGCCCCGCACACGGTGCTGCGGGTGGCGGCCCCGCCTTTCGTGCCTGCCGCGGAGGTGCCGATGCATGCGTCGGAGGAGGGGATGGAGGACGAGGTGCGAGGCAGCCGCTGCTCGTGCGGTGCCGTGGTCTTCGCGCCCTGTTCGATGGGCCCTGCCCACTGCTGGTCACGCGGTGGGGCGATGCGCCGCGGGCCGTTTGCCTCGCCCGACCAGATGGCCGCGGACGCGGTGCCGACGGATGACCACGGGTACTCGTCGGCGAGCTGTGCAGTGGGCGACGACGCTGCCGCGGTAGGTGAACCCGCGCCGTGCACGCCGTGGCCGAGGGCCCCGCCGCGGCCCCGGGACCTCTCCCCCGTGAAGGAGGTGAAGGCTGCGAGTCTCGCCCCGGAGGAGACCGCACCGGAGGAGGCCGGCTCCCGCGGGCCTGACGGGTGTGGTAAGTCCGTGGCCCCCACCGTGGAGGAGCCCCTCGACGAGAGCGTCGTTCGAGGCGGGGAGCCTGCTGTTGAGGCCGACACCGTGTCGGATTTCGACGTCGAGGACTTCCTCACCGAGATGTTTTCGGCCTCTGGCGGCGGGGACGGGGTGCACGCGGGCGACGTCGTCCGCAAGCACGAACGCCTCGGGGTCGACCTCGAGCTCGTGGCCGACTATATGGCCTCGGACCGTTTCGCGGAGGTCTTCTACGTGGACGGCGAGTACCTCTTCCGCGCCAGCGCGGTGCAGTCCTCTCCCTGAGGCTGCATTGGGGGTGTCGGCCTCAGGGTACGGCCCCAGCGCAGTTTCCACTTCGAGGCGTATGCCGCCCCTGCGGGGGGAGTGGTTCTGCGCAGGAGTGTCGGCCTCTGGGTACGGCTCCGTGTGGTGACGGCCTCTGGGTACGGCCGCGGGCCCAGTCCTCCGCGGGGGGAGGTTGGGCGGGGGTGTCGGCCTCAGGGTACGGCCCCACAGGGACTTCCTCGGCGCGGCCTTCGCTGGGAAGCCGGAGCGGGCGGACGCGGCTCTGCCGCCGCCAGTGCGGCCGCGCCCGCGCGCACCTGGCGGCGCATAGGTCAACCGCCTCGCCTCCCGACTTCTGGTGGCCTTGGCCGTCGTGAGTTCTCACGGCGGCTCCTCCTCCTCCTCCTCCCCCTCCTCCTTCTCCTCCTCCTCCTCCTCCTCCTCCTTCTCCTCCTCCTCTCCCTCCTCCTCCTCCTCCTCCTCCTCCTCCTCCTCCTCCTCCTCCTCCTCCTCCTCCTCCCCCTCTCCCTCCTCCTCTTCCTCCTCCTCCTCCTCCTCCTCCTCCTCCTCCTCCTCCTCCCTCCTCCTCCTCCTTCTCCTCCTCCTCCCTCCTCAGACTACAAGACTACATGTTCGGGTCGGACGCGCGCCTCCAAGGAGGATATATAGTACCTATACGACCACCCTTCGGGTGATAAGGAGGTTGCGGGGGGGAGGGGGGGGGGAACCAACATCTGATTCAATCGATCTCACTATCCACCACGGGACACCACGGGACACTTGTCGATCTCACTATCGATCTCACTCAACGGGACACCACGGGCCACCGGGGGCCACCGCTGGTCACCAAGGGACACCGCGGGACACCTCTCGATCTCACTAGCGGCCGCACTATCGATCACACTGTCGATCTCACTCAACGGGACACCATAGGACACTTCGGGACACCACATCGATTTCAGTATCGATCTCACTATCGATCTCACTCAACGGGACACCACGGGACACCTGTCGATCTCACTATCGATTTCCTTTTTGGGGACACTTCGGGGCACCACAACTACCGATCTCACTCAACGGGACACCACGGGACACCGCGGGACACAGCGAGCCACCGCCAGACAGACGTACGGACGGGTGGGCGGGCGATAATCATGTGTCTTGGCTTCGCCCTAGCAACGGCGGACACCACGGGACACCACGGGACACCGCGGGACACCGCGAGCCACCGCCGGACGGACATACGGGAGCGAAACATTTGTCTTGACTTCGCCCTAGCAGCGGCGGACACCACGGGACACCGCAGGACATCGCTAGGGCCACTGCCGGACGGACGGACGGACGGACGGGGGAGCAACAGTTGTTTTGAGGTCACCCTAGCAACGGCAGGTTCATTCCTCTCGCGCGCCCACCTCGCCCACACGCACGACACGAACGAAACGAAACGATTTCCCGGTTGGGGGTCTCCGTTCCGCTGCGATCTCACCCCCCAATTTCCAACCTAGTGGACAAAAGTGACGCTTCCCGTTCTTGTCCGGTCAGGTTACTAAAGTGGCGATTTCGCTTGAGACATCCTCACGGAAATGAGATCCTCGCGACATCGAGTTTAACAAAAGCAAGTGTTTCGCTCGAGAGCCATCCTAGCCAAAGTGAGGTGTCGACGGAGGTGTCTTACTATTTCTTATGTTGGAAATTACGTTTTCGCTGGGGATGTCTTCAGAAAATGAGCGACAACACGGCGGGCCAGAAATAAAGAGCATGACAGAAGCTTTGCATTTCCTTACGGACAGCCTCCAACAAATGAGATGTTCTCAACATCCTGTTGACATCGTTTTTTAGTGCTTCAAGATGAAATGAGAGCCCCCAAAGGACATCAATATGGCTCCAAGAGCGCCCTGATGACTGCCGAAAATGACGATTTTGCTAGGGATATCGTCAAATAGTGAACACATGCAACAGCATCGTTTTGTAAGCTGCTATTCTAACATTGTGTTGGGATCGCTCTGGAAAAAGGCTTCCAGACGGCCCAAGCCAGGCTTCTAATAAGGACGATTTCGCTAGGGACATCCTCAAAACAGATATGTGTGACATCGCATTGATATCGTTTTCGATGGTATCGAAAAGGCCCCGAACGAGCCCCAAACGAGCCCCAAGATGACCCCAAGCGCGTCCTCGAGATCCCTCAGAATGCGCATGTGGCTCGATACATCATAAAGACATGAGTTGCTCGCAACACCGTCTGTCACAAGAAAACAAACATGTCGCCTGAGACATCCACCATAAAATGAACACCGCGAATTTAACAAACGTATGCAAATGAGGATATCGCCTGAGACATCCTCAACAAGGAGGTGCTGAAAAGGCTGATTTAAGACCATGCATGTTGAAACTGAGTTGTTCGCCTGAGACATCTTCAGAACATGGGCAGGATCACGGCAGCCCAGCGCGCAGAAGCACGGCAGAACGCGCGAGAGCACGGCCGAACACGCAGAAGCACGGCAGAACGCAGGAGCACTGTAGAACCCAAAGAACACACCGGAACACGGCATAACAAACAGGAGCCTTGCAGAACACAAAGGAACACGGCAGAACACACAGGAACACGAGGAGCATTGCAGAACACAGATAATACATAGGAGCATGGCAGAACACACAGGAGCACGGCAGAACACGTAGGTGCACGGCAGAACGCACAGAACACACCCGTAGCAATTTTGGCTCAAGGCCATGGAGAACCCGACGACCGCGAGTCGTTCGCGGCGCTCTGAGCGCGAGGGTCTCCGCGCTTGGGGCCAGTGCAATTCGTGTTTGTGCTCCCTGTTTTCTCGGCGCGGAGGCGCAGCCCCTCGGCCAGTGCAGCGGTGGCCATGGCGAGGTCCCCGCGCGGCAGCGGCTGCGGCAGGCGCTGCAAGGCCTACTGGATGTGCAGCTGTGGCGGATGGAACTGGGATTGGCGCACCTCGTGCCTGTGCTGCGGGTATGCGGCCCCGCCTTGGGCGATGGGGACGCTCCCAGCCAAGGCAAGGCCCAAGGCGGACAAGGACGGCTGGGTGGATCAGCCACGTGGGCGCCGTGCCCAAAGGCAGGCCCGCGGCGCGGCATCGCGGGCGGCCTCCACCAAGTCGCAGACCTCGGCGTCGGCAGCGCGGCGGAGGCGCCACGGCGATCGGGAGGCTCCAGGCGGCAGCCGAGCAGCTCGACGCGCTGCAGGCCGAGCCCCCCGACGGAGTGGGCGGCTGCTTCACCGACGTCGTGGTCAGGCAGCTGGAGGCGAAGCGTGCCGAGTTGGTCAAAGCCCAAAAAGCAGCAGCGGAGCAGAAGGCCTCTTCCCTGCCGCGGGCGACACGGCTCCACAGGGAGGCGAACGCCATCAGCAAGGGTG